TATGATCTATTTGAGTCCATCGTTTATTTTTGGAGAGAGTCACCATATTAGACGATATCTGTCCTTATGCTTAAAATTAGTGTTTATTAAAAATAAACGATTGTCTGAGCACAGTTGCAGCAGACGATCACCATTATTTGTTCACTAAGTCGGAATACTAAAATACCCACCTAAATGTCTTTCTGTTTTGCTTAAGCTACCTACTTAGGTATTAAAGTCACCTGCAACGAGTAGTATGTCTGAGTGCTTAGCTTTTTGAAGAAGCTCAGAGAGCTTTCTGTAGAATTAATTTCTCAGTTTATCCGGGCTGTATTCGGTGGGAGCGTAGTCAGAAACAACGAAAAGGCAACGACTTGTGTCCGTATCCTTGCGAGTTAAGCTGAACAACACATAAGCGACTAATAACGGGGATCCATTCTAATAGTGCTTATTCTGCTCTCGTACTAAGTGCTATTCCTACACCTGGAAGTCCACAAAAACTAGCAATTGGGTTGCCAGATGAACGGAGGGTGTATCTCATCGGTCCCCCGTTTTGTTATATGAGGTGAATGAGCGACCACACTAAGATTCTGTATCCATGTTTTAGAGACAGTAATTTTTCTGTTAGCTCCGTACTTATTGGGACCTTACTTCTGAAGACGGAAATCCGTGGGATAAGGTTAGGTGTAAACTTTTAGTGTCAACGTTTTCTAACCTCACCCTTCTTTGTGGGAAGGCGTCATTGCTGTTATGCTGGTTCTGATGTTAACATTTTATTGCCATCACACTCCTGTGCAGTCAGCAGTACGACTTCGCTCTCGCACCATGGGTTTGCTGCTTTTACTCTTACCGTTCTTCAACAAATCTTCCTGGCATAATAGGACCTTGAGAAGTGATTGTTCCAGCCAGTATAGCTCGATTAGCTCATCACGATAGGCAAGCTCTAACATCACGCCAAGGTAACAGCAGTGTTTGGGCGTTACACAGTCATAACATAGTTTTTTTTTGAAAATTTTTCATTTCTTTTTCATTTCTGTTAGAGAAATAACTAAATAAATTATTATCAGGCAAAATTGTAAGCATCAAACAATCTCAAGAGTGTAATAAATAAATTGAAAAATATCACTGTTGAAAAGTTAATGAAATAGAAAGGCGTTTTTGTTTATGGTAAATTATCCTGTAATTTTCTAAGTTAAGATCGAATAAAAACAGGTAATGTATGATCATCTGTTGTGTACATAATGATATGAAACACAGAATACAAAGAAAATATTAAAAGACAAAAAAACCCATTCAAGGATACGTCGTGATTACCATGATCATCTAAAGCACATTTTGTAATATCTAAACTACCTGTATATATACACATCGTATTGTATATTATTATTATTACCGGTAATTCAATGGTCTTTACAATACATATTGCATTTTGTGAAGATGACCAACTGTTTAATACACATTGGATTTTGAATTGACACCGAGCAGTTACACGTATGATGTAGTTAACTTGACAAATTGATGCTTCATATTTTAAAATGATAAAGATTTCTAATCAATATTTCAAAGGCAACGACAACACCTATTTATGTAAATGTGTAGTAAGTTCTGTGTACATATATGATGAGACTATATTTTACTTGATACAAAATTGGTTGTATTGGTATTTTATATGTAACGTATAAGTAATTAATGTCCGGCGCTTTAATCGGGTTGGTGGACACGAAGGGTCCACCTAGGGGAGTTGGAAAACCCTGATTCCAAACCAATGGTGTACATGGGCTCCAGTATCCTGATGGAACGAATGGCGGACGAACCTGTCATTGGTCAACGGCTACCATGGGACTGCATCTCCTCACGATGCTCCACTGCCTTGTGGATCAGACATTCAGGTCAAAGGCTCCGGGTGTGGCCCCCTAAGAAAACCACCTGCTTCAGTCTGGGCACCTGAGCAGTATCACAGCCCTCACACAAATCGAATGAGATTTGTGAGGCGCATATTTATCTGGTGCTTCATTGTACCAATATTTATGTGTTTAAATAAATAATAAATAAATAATAATTAACTTTTCACCAACTGAAGGTTAATGTAAATATGGTTGAGACATCTTTACAAGTATGTTAAGTAGCTCACAATTTTATTTAAAATGTTCAATAGTATTTTTATTTAATATATTCTAGGCTCACAAATTATTGATAACAGTATGTGATCTTGTGCAAAGACTGGTCAGTTAGTTAAATTGTATCTTGATATTCAAACAAGAATTTTGATCAATAGTTTATGATGCAAAGGTTTTAGATTTTTTGCAGGTGCTTACTACCATGTGATATTCACTTATCTACAGTGGTATTCTGTGTAATTAATTGATGTTACCAGTTTAGATAAGGATTGATCGGAGTACAGTGTCTTTAAACCGATATTTTTCTAATCGAATAAGAAATTTTAATGTCTGTGGTTAGATGACAAAAGATTTTTCTCTCATGAATCAACACTACTTCTAATTAAATACTTTAAATGAACCTCTTGGTAGATGATTAAAATATCAACAAACTACGTAAGTTTTTAAAACAACTGTCGCGAAAAAACGGTCAAAATTTAAGGGAAATTCATATGATTCAAAACGGACATGATAAAATTAAACCAAACAACTGATAGAACGGTTCGGAAACAGTATATATATATACAATAGTCAAACTTGATACCGATCAGATTTAGCAAAATGTGTCTAGTTATAAAATGTTAAATATGAACACGGAGTTTCCAACAACATTTTCTCCGATAATTTAGTTCTCTATTCTCTGGTGTTAATTATATTTACAGCTGAAGTTGGTTCCTGGTGAAAATTATTTTCAGTATGTAAAAACATCTTTAACAAAATTACTTTATCATAGTTGGCTTGTAATCAGATTAATTTAGCTAAAGTTCTATCGAGAAATTGTAACTTATAAAATCGATCAGATCATAAATGAAATGGTTATTCATCGATAAGTTTAGATGTAGTGATCATATTATTATTAAAAGTTGACGGATATTTAAATTGTAGACAATCACCTTCGGATTTAATTGTACCCATCTCGAAATTTGAATATTTTATGGTTCAATATTATATAGTATCGTTTTTGTTTGCTATTTATTTGTTTAATTGGTTCATGTGGTAATATTGATGTTTGCTGAAGACTGAAAAATCTCATAATCTAATTAGCTTCTTGTTTTGTTTTTTTAAATGCAGTTTATTTCCTTACTATTGTTTATAAATCAAAAAAAGGTCAGACAGTCCTATAAAAGTGAACATTTGTAATCGATTAGCAATTACTGAATCCGTAGAAATATAATTATTTTGTATGATGTTAAATAGAAGATGAATTATAAACTTTCCCATTGCATGTTTGTTCGATTTGACCAGATAGTAATAATGATAATAATGAATATTATCTTCAGGTCATTGGATTTTCACAACACTCCTCTTTCATTTCTATTTCCCTACTAATTTCTATGATAAGTTAATTTAGATTTACTGAACCATATGGTTGATTATGTTTAACTGACTGACTTTACTATAACCAGTGATGTATTGTCTGATTGAAAGACAATCGTAAAATATTCATCGTTTAGACTAATAATAAATAATTCGTAAGAATAAATTTATCATTATCCTATGATTGATATGTAAATGTACATTTGATTTTTTTTAGTGTTATCTGAAGTATGGGGTAAATAAACTTTTACTACTTGATGTAAACCGAAAATGACAATTTCTAGACCATAAATGTATAGCTTATAATTGTTATAAAACTGAATCTCTTAATTTCAGATCTATTAAAAACAGTAACAAAACAAATAAGCTAACATAGAATGAAACATTTGTTATTAGATCCTGAATTTTGAAGTGAATAAACGCATATTTTGCATGGGATTATAGGCATGATTATTTGAGAGAATTTTTCCCATTTCATATCAGAAAATCATATCACATAAAGTTAGCTGGTTTAAAGGACTCTTCAACAATTCTTTAACATAGTATTATCTGACACATTAAGTAGGTATGCTAATGAATGGTTGTAATCTATATACAATTACTAATACCAGTCATGCGTTTTTTCTTTATGTCTGTTAAACAACAGTTACATTATGAATAAAGCCAGAACAACAAGCGTAGCAAATTAAAGTGAATTCATTTATTTCATAGATTCTCGTCAGCCTTTTTCAACTTGTAAACAATAGCGATGGTTATTTATGAACAGTATGGATACTTTACATTATATTAATGAAGATTAGTAGAATGACGATGACAGTTTTGGAAGAATTATTAAGTGGTAAATTTTGTTCTTAAGTGGAATGTTTCAATAAAAATATCTTTCGGTATGACTGCATTTGAAAAATTTCAATAGCGGTCATTGCAAATTGTAAACAAGCCGGATATCATGCAAGTTATTCTTTTTTTAATTCTTCCCCATCCACATGCGCTCAACGTAAGCGTAGTAAATGAAGGGCATATATGTACTGTTTTCAAGGGCATACGAAAACTGGTACTGAGAAATTTAAATATTTAATTCGCTATAACTGAACATTGTTTTATGTGAAATACACGTACTACAATCAAAACTAGGACTCTTCATAATAAATCCTTCTAAACTACGTTTTGTATGTATACTGCGAAAGAAATCAAACAATTGTTGAAATTAAGTACAGTAAAGTTGTAGTAGTCAAACTTCTGCAACACAGATCATCTTATCATTTAACTGCCAGACCACTGTTTGCATAAATTGATTAGTTTAAATTTTTGCAGTCAGAACTACAGTTCTCGTTTATATAGGACTGCTTCAATTACTTTTCTAATTAATTCTTTGTTCGTTCCATACATAGTAATCGCTAAGTCAAAGGGCGATTTCATCTGCTTAGTTTTATAACCTTACAGGTTATTCGTAATTTAAGAGTGGAACCCTTTAGTTTTCATTTCCGTGATTTATATTTGATGATGCTAAACAAATAGTGTTATTTATTGACAATTTTTCTGTTTTGATAGAATAATATCTGCTCATGAACGAATGCCGCGTTTACCTTATCTTGACGAAAGAATTGTAAATTTTTTAGCTAAGATTCCTTTGGATTTTAAAGTAAGTTCTTCTATAAGTGTTCACTTTAAGTGCCTTTTATGGTAAATATCAGTGCAGCTGAAAGTAAGAATTAGTTTATCCGTAACATGAGACTAATAAACAGTTTTTTTAGTTTATTATGAGTGAGCAGTTGTTGAATTATATTTTCTAAAATGTGTTTCCAATGAATTTCTCAAACGACCGTACAATGAGATTAAAACCAACTATACTGGCTTCATTCTTTGTTTCTGTAATCTAATTTGAAGTGGGTTAGGGATGAAATTACCCGATCGATACACTAATCGTGATTCCAAGTAAGAGTGCCACCAAAAACTAATTAAGCACACCTGTGCGTGTTGAATTAGTTGTAGTTTACATACTGGATTGGTTTTAGACAACCAGGAAGCGTTTAACAGTTATTTCGTTTTATTATAGGACTGAAAAGTACGGATTCACTACCGTATCAGGGATCTAACCCAGTGCCTTACATCACACAGCGGGCGCTTAACTGCCGAGGTACTGAGGCCGGCACATAGTTTTGATAAAAAGATAAGAAATAAAACGTTATTTTCGAAGTCATGATATGGAATGAGATTTAGGATATATATAATACCTGATATGATTTAATACTTGGGATATATTGATCAGCTACACTATCAATATTATTCCTAAGGTGACTTGTGTGACTTATATAGCTGACAGATTGGCTAATTAATCCTACTAACGAAGTACAAGATTACTATCATCAATATAAGTTGTATTGTTCAACATTACATGATGTTATCAATTTGTAAAGTTTATTTTAGTGCATTCCTAATTATGTGCTTGTCTGAAATTATGTGACAAATTATTAAAATGGATTATTTATAATTGTTAAGTCCATAATTAACTTGTACATTGCATTATTTCCAGGTTTTTAGGGAATATATAGTAAACTAAATAGATAAATAATTTGATAACTACCTACTAGCTTCCTCAAATGTATTTGAAATTGTGGATTAAAAAAGCTGTCTAATCTAATTAGATTCTATTTATTTATGATTTCAAATAAATAATCATAATAAATAGCCATAATTGAGGTAAATGTGTTTTAAATTATACAGAATGTAAGCTTGGAACTGTAGGTGAAATGAATTTGTCACTGTTTATGGATGTTAAAATGAACGTAATAAATAATTTGGATCGCTTTCTAAATCATATGAAGTTAGAATATTTATTAATGCTACGATGAGTTTTTTCCAAACGTTTTACTTCTAACTACCGACTTATTAGTGGAATTTTTTTCATCCTGCATGCCATAGTGATAATTTATATTTTTATTATTTGTTTGTTCAGCAGAAATGATGTGAGTTGAGAATAATCAGGGAAGAATATTTTTTTATTTTCAATTATGAAAACTTTACATTTCCTAGATTTTCGATATGCATCGAAAATGGGGGTAATACAGAGAATGGTTGTATCAAATGGTATTGAAACTCCTCATCGTTCTAGACTCATGACTTCACACAATATCGAGTCTCAAACCTTCAGGTTTTATGGAGAATGCAATGGAACTGAGCTTAATTCCAGTGCTTCAAACTTTGGATATGTCTTATTGCACAGGGTTAATTTAAGTGTCATCCGATCCCATCGGGGGTTAGACCCATGACCTTCAGGTCACCTTCGTGTAGTCTTATACTGGGGCGAAACAACTCTCCGGTTCATCGCAATTTTTGTCCATGGTTGTCTAAGCTAGGTTGGCTTGTGCTCGCAATATGGTTGATTAAACTGTTTGTAATTAATTTAGCCCACTTGGAAAATGATCAACATTTATCTTGAGCACTGAAATTTATTATTATTATTATTGATATGTATCGTTTCGTCGTAAACATACACATACTACATATAAAGGGTTTAGTTAGATTAAGTGGATGGTAATATAATTATATAAATACATATATAACTCATCCCGAATTCCATGGGACAAATTAATTTGTTCGTTTGCTGTTTTCCTGTTTATTAATTTATTTACATTTTTTCCTCGTTACAACGGAAAGACTGTTTTTTATTTATTTATATAAAATTCCATTATATTATCCACGACATTAATGATGACAACATCCTGAACATTTTTGAAATAATGTTTATTTTGTGTTAAACATAATTTTGTTAACTTATTTATGTGTTTTGGAACTTATTTTGTTTATTTTCATGTGTTGTAAATGTGATTTATTCACTATTGGCTTGTGATAATCTATAAATTTGTTAAAATGTTATTTTGTGCGTATGTACTTCTTTTTTTTTGTTGGTGTTTCTTCGATTTTGCCGTTGAGATGAGCAACCAGTAATAAATAATGGGAAATGCGTGTGTTCAATCGGACAACTAGCTCTAACTTTTTGTGTTTGTTAGTAAATAAGAGGACTTGTGATTTGTGAAAATACAATTTTCTTGTCACAATTAAATTTGAGTTACATAGTATCGTAATTAGAATTAGTATTGTTTAGTTAGTCATGCCCTACTAAACATTCTAAGTCATACTTGGTTGAATTTTAAATAATTTACTTCTCATTCGAATCCTAAGTAGATGTTATAAGGTAGTGATCACCTACTCAACTCAATCCTTAAATGGAAATAGTTGAGAACTTTAGAGTCATCTAAGTAACCGATGATATTACAAAAAGCTTGCCATCACACAAAGAACCGTGGATAAATGAGGTTATTATTATAATTATTACTGTCACTGTCTGCTGACATTTTTCCACGTATGTTTTACAGTTAAATGGAGATATAACTAATGACGTTCTACATAGGAGAACACCCAAGGATATAAACATAATGTTTGCCCCAGCCGAACATTAAATATTCTTGTTACCTTTAGGTGTATTTGTTGTTTTACGTGCATCTTGAAAGGTCGTCATATTGGGAGGATTACTAGACAACTTTATTTTCAAAAAATCATGGAATCTATTTCTGTAATGATGTGAAAGACGGTTATTTTACGGGTCTTACCACTTAAACGAAAATGTAATGAAGTCAAACAATGAAATACTAAACAATACCTGTTTCTTAGAAAACCGATTCTCATAGTACTTTTATCTCAACTGATTATAATACAAAAAATAGTATAATTACGGAGGTTTTGTACTGACCATTATATATTAATGCATTTAGTCTCTGATGATATTGCTCAACTGTTGTTTTATACGGATTTCATGAGATTTTCTTGCTTTAGAATTATTAAGAACTTCTATTTGTTGTTCTATGTCTAGATAATCTGAGCGTTTCACTAACTGGATTCCAATCTTTGTGTAGCTCCAAATTCTCTACTTGTTTTTGCCGTTACTATTTAGAAAATAACTTGTCTATTCCCTAACTAAAAATCATGTCTTTATTTCGAAATGATTAATTACGATGTCGAATATCACAACAATGTTACATCGAGATTCACAGTTTAATTAACTCAATGGGTGTTTCTGTAGTTTATCCATGAGGTTTATCCTTAGTTAAACAAACTGGTCATCCTTAAATGTAATCAAACAGACATGGTTTAATATAATTGCTAGGTAAATTATGACTGATTTAAATTGATTGAACGACTTAGTTACGAAGATCTGGTTGTAAACGGATAGTTTTTTTCCTTAACTCCGTCTAATCCAAACTTTTGTAGAAGTTTATTGTTAAGAGTCAATCATCATCCTAAATATTTCATCATTTAGAAAAGAACTAATAGGCTGTCAGCTTCATAAAACGGTATATAAATCTCATGGTTATTTATTTGTATACATTTTCAAAATCTGCCTAGTTTAGTTTACCTGTGCTTGTGAATCCAGGAACGTTGATTAGTTATAGGGCTCTTTTCCACCATAATATTCACATGCAACATGACTTACTTGCTTACTTACTTACTTACACCTGTTACCCCTCGTGGAGGGACATAGGCCGCCCACCAGCATTCTCCATCCAAACCTCTCCTGGGTAATCCTTTCCAGGTCTTTCAAGTTGTTATTCATCCTTTTCATATCTGCTTCTATTCTCGGTGTAATGTGTTCTCTGGCCTTCCTCTTTCCCGCTTCCCTTCCGAATTTCAAGTTAGGGCTTGCCTCGTGATACAATTCGGTGATTTCCTTAATGTATGTCCAATCCACTTTCAACGTCTTTTCCTAATTTTCTCTTCAGCTGGTCAGTGAATGTTAAGTATTTTTCGAAGATAACTATTTATAAATACTTGTACCTTCTTGACGATGGTTGTAGTGGTTCCCCATGTTTCGGCTCCGTACGGTAGAACTGTCTTGACGTTCGTATTGAAGCTTGTGACTTTGATATTGGTTGAGAGTTGTTTTGAATTCCATATGTTCTTCAATTGTAAAAATGCGGTCCTTACTTTTCCAACCCTCGCCTTTACGTCTGCATCAGATCCTCCTTGTTCATCAGTGATGCTTCCCAGGTATGTGAATGTTTCTACATCTTCCAGAGTTTCTCCATCAAATGTGACTGGGTTGGTGTTCTCCGTGCTTTTGTTCCGGATCTCACCTTTTCCCTTGTGTATGTTGAGGCCTACCGTTGCAGACAGGCTTCTGCCACACTGTTTGTCTCGACCTGCATTTCTTGATGTTTATGGGATAGAAGACATAGATCATCTGCGAAGTCCAAATTGTCTAATTGATTTTGAAATGTCTATTGTATTCTGTGCTTCCCGTCAGATGTTGAGGTTTTCATAATCCAATCAATCACCAGAAGAAAGAGGAAAGGGGAGAGTAGACAGCCTTGTCTGACTGTGGTCCTTACTAGAAATGCATCCGGCAGCTGTCCTGCATGCACCACTTTGCACCGTATGAGTTCTGGATAATATTGACAATCTTCTGAGGAACTCCATAGTTTCGAAGAAGGTTTCGAATGTTATCCTGTCCACACTGTCAATACGCCTCATAGTCAATGAAGTTGACGTATAGTGATGAGTCCCACTCAACTGATTGTTCAACGATGATCCGTAGTGTCTCAATCTGGTCTGTGCACGACCTATCCTTACGGAATCCAGTCTGTT